CTTCGTGATTCCACTCAGCTCATCGGATGTATAGTCCCGTTTCTCAAAGAAATTTCTTCATCAAGTCCTGAAAGTTTTACTTCTTCGAATGAGGGATTCGTTTTATTGTCTACACTGGAATTACTGAATTCAACCCCTAAAAAAAATATTCCTATTAAAAAATAGTCTGGGAAGAACGGGAAAAGATTTTACGAGACTCCGTAGTTCACCGCCCCTACATAAAATACAGTACTGCATATATATATATATATATACACGAGACTAGGATGGAGTCATGACACAAGAAGCGATGAATGAATCTACTCTGAAGAAATGGCAAGTTCCGCATAAAATGAGGAACAGCACATTTTTCGCCATTCCCAGAAATTACACTCCTGAGTAACCACCTTAATGGCTCTTTTTGTATTATGGTGAGACTTCGCGATTCAAGTCATTTGGGTCCACAAATTTATCGATTTAAAAAAACCGTAAATCCTAAAATTTCAGCTTTATCAAAAGAGGAATTCGTTTTACTGTACTGGAATGTAACCCCTGAAAAATATTCATAATAGAGATGAAAAAAAAGGCTGGGAGGAACGGGAAGATTTTTTCGGGAATTCGTGGTTCACCGCACCTCTTATATACAGTCATACAGTACAGCATACAGTATATATATATATATACACACACGAGACTGGGCTGGCATCATCATGACACAACACGCGATGAATGATTCTGCTCCAGAGGAGCGAAGGCATGCGATGAATATCAAAGAATAAACCCGAGGATTTAATGGCTCGGTGTATTATCAAAACCCGCGGCCTTCACGCCGGCAATCCGATGCCCAGCGGGAAATCTGGCCCGTGTCCCACGCTCAGGTCGCAACACCGATTTTTCCTCTTCCCCGGCACATCATACGAACACCGAGTATGCAGCGTATCGAGTGAGAGGTGGTCTCGTAACGACCCTGAGGTTCCTCATTTCAGAGCATATTTCATACTAATGGGCCGAATCTCCGCTGTGCATTAAGGCTGTGCCGAACAAGTCCTCATCATCGCATTGTTTTTCTCATCCCCCCCAATGTACCACCATTTTCACGACGTGTAGAGGGGAAGAAGTGGCAGGAAATTCTCCCATGTCAGTGAAATTTCCTTTCGGCGTCCTACAACTTGTATATACTGTACTATGAACTATATACGCATCAGAGAAATTTCGCGGTAATCATCATTAAGGAACACCGGTAGCAACAATAAAGAAAAAAAACCGGATGCGCTGTGATGCTTCAAAAAGTCAGCAGCTCAAAACCGTGTTTCACGAGTTCACTTTCTGGTGCTGGGGGGAAATTATATCATAGAGTGATGTGGCTACTATGTCTTCTAACCCTTTTCTTCACGCATTAACTACTCGGTAACGCCATAAATTTTCAAACAGCATCCATTTTTTAGAACACCTTAATCAGATATTCGAGCCTCCGACCTTCAAACTACAAGTTTTCTTACTTAATATTACAGATCGGTGAAACCAAGTCAGTGCGAGACGATGATCCAAGCCACACCAATCGGGTCAAAAGGATCAACAATCAAGAGAAAAATCTCTTTATAACGAATTATTGCTTGCAACGAATTCGTTCTTCAGGTTCCTTCCCGAAAGCAACAATGTTCATGACGAATTCATCTCGATACGATAGCGAAGCGTTTTTCCCGGTCCCGAAAGCTTTACTGAAACGAGATCTTATTTTATTGGATTTCTGGTACAAATTGAAATTTCAACGGAGAACTTCGTGGTAGCCACACGCAATCTAGGATTTAGCTTGAATTTATAGTTTTCAAAGACCAACAATTGGTGTTTAAAAAATAAATTCCGCCATTCTTCAATTCTCTTCGAGCGAAATAGAGCGATGCAAATTTTTAAAATAGGCCAGAAAACCTCAATACATTGAAATACATTTTCAAGGCAAATGATCTCGGAATAAATTTGCCAAGGTCAGTTTTCAAAGAAATTTTATGGTTTTTTTCCAAAGAAAGTTATCAATATCAATAGATGAATAAAATTTGAACGTCAAATAATATTAAATTTCGATGGAGAGCATTACGAGAACTTTATGCATGACCACATACAACAATTTCTTGAATTCAGAGTCTCGGACAGCGTTCTCATTTTCTTCGATAGAAATTTGAAAAACGGACCCAGATTTTCCCTCTCACACAATGGAACAAATTCAAATAAGCCAACCAATTTTAATAAGTATTCGTGGAAATTATGCCTGCAATATTTCCCATTCTACATCAACTCTAAAAAGAAGGATTGAAGCTTAAAAAAAAATAAATACGCCGGAAAAAAACTGAACCGGTATTTGTGTAACCGCTCATAGTCTCTCGCACCGGGTTAGCTGGAGAACCAATGACAGCGTCTCGGCAAAGAATTTATTTTGCAACGCAACCCGGGTCGGATTGCAGCAGGTAATTCTTCCTTTTTCACACCCCTCGGGAAAGTCAAGGATATCTCTGAACATCTTCCGACGCGAACCCAACGCGTTTCGTCCGCATAATCAATCCGCAGGCTGATTAATTCCGCGAAAGACCCCGGCGTGTGCTACACAAAGGTCGCCGAGATGCGCAGAGGGAAAAAAACAAAAACACCAAAAACAAAAAAAGATATTCAGAAAAGCCACGGGGGTTTCTCTTGGAGTTCAGAGACTTAAAATATATGTTAACGAAAATAATAAGAATAAAAAAACTAGAAAGATGCTGAAGAGGAAGAAGCGACTACACCTCGACACCCACGCCGCGAAACCCACCCACGCGCCCCAAGGGTCTTCCTTGCGTCAGGATTCGCGTCGTTCCGCAACCCCAAGGTGAGCAAACGTAACCCAGCATCTGGAACTTCAGCAAAACTGCTCTCAAATGAATGATGAAAAAAAATAACCAATCTTCAACACTTTGAGCTGAAACAAAGGTTGTGAAATTCTACTCGCAATTCGCAGCATTTTCCCAGAAATTTGCTTCGTTAAAAGTCCCGAGATAAAATTTTTGATATTTCGGAGAAACAAAAGAGGTAGCCGCTAATTTCGAGGAGCTATAGTTGCAAAAAGAAAAACACAAGCGGCATTTTACACGTTCACGCTTAACGTAGTAATTAAATTTCGTCTATGAAAGACGGGATTACTCACAAGATTACACGGGCTTTGCCTAAAATAATTCCAACACTGATTTAATCCTCAAAAACGTCAGAAAATCACTTTGAGAGAAATTTTGAGTGCTGTCGCTTTCCCGAGGAGAATTTTCGTCATTATCTGACTCGATCTTTTTTCGTCCACGTGATGATGACTAAATAATACCACATATTACAACCATTCTTTTGGCCTCTTTCTTGAATATATAGTTTCAGGTCTCATCTCAGATATTCCGTGCAATTTTTTCGGGAACAAAAACAATGCGGAACATTGTGAAGTAAAACTAGAAAATCATTGAAGTTGCGACAACAATCACAAGGATCGGATATGTCCAGAATATTTATCATGCTAAATCGCCGTAATTATTTTAACCCATTTAATTTAATCGGCTTACTCAAAAAACTTCGACTTCAGAAATACTCGTATGTTCTCTCAGTGAGCGATACAAACTCAGGAAAAAATCGACTTCTCCTCTTCGCAGAAAAGCAATTCAAGTGAAAATACACTTGGGAAATATCCAATGCTTCCCAATTTTGGTCAAGTGCATAGTCGAATACCAAGATATCTAATGTTCAAAAATGTCAAAACGGGAAAACTTGGAGAAAAATAAGCCATCTTTTTTATTTTCATGCTTTTCAGACTGTGTGGAATCGGCGATCACCTAGCTATAAAATACAAAAGTTGAATGTCCTCTGCAGTTAGAGCCGGATTTTTTTTTTTTGCTTGCATAATTTCCGGATTTGGTTACAACTTGAACGAAGTCCAGACGTTTAAAGAAAATACCCCAGCAATGTCTCTCGAACCCCGAGTTTGATGAATGGCTCTTATGCAAACACGTTTTTAGCGGCAAAAAATCGTTGCGCCGTGTCGCCATAAAGCGACTCACCTTTGACCGCTTCCAAACCTCAGAAGACGAAGAAATAAAATAAAAAGGGATGAGAAGTTGAAACAAAACTACGAAATACCTCGTTTCAACAACAACAACAACAAAAAACAGCAAAAACCAGTAAAACGCAAGGAGTGGGTTATAAATCGCGTCCCACCCGGTCGTGATTTTTACTGGCTGCCACAGGAATTGTTTCATGTTCCAGAACCCCCGCATCTTCGCAGAAGTGTAATTGCTGCCCCCGTGGACCACCGTGGATGCATAATTAGCGTCTCCTGGGAAATGGAGCATAAATTGACTGTTCTTCCCGCAGTCTCAATTAATCCTCGTCTCGAGAAGAAACCCCGTCCGTTAGCCCAACACTTCCCTCGACGCAAAATCCTACACGCATACGGTTTACGCCTCAAGGCGCAATTTTGCACACAAACAAAATTTTATTATTTCAATTTTTTTTAGCAATTTAACAAATATCTCGTTGATTTACGTAATCAAACCGACAAAAAATATAAAAAGGCTAAAGGAATCCCGAACTCCCAGTAAGTCCAAATCAATATAGTATTTCCCTCGTAATATGGCAGGTAATACATTTCTAATTGGCAAAATTACACTCATGAGAATTGTGAAAACATGGCTATTATGACAAAAATTAAAAACTAGTAAAAATCCAATGGTTGGATTATGTGGTATTTCCAATCAATATTCCTTGTTCCCGAATCCAACTTCTCGGAATTTCACGTTTTTTTTTTTTATTTGGAACACAAAAAATCAGACATTTTCTTATTTACGTAGCTGAGAAAATTGCCATACTGTTAGCACTATAAAAATATGTATAGGCTCAATTGATTGATCTGCTGTATAAATATTAACTATTTTTGAATGAATCATGCGCAGTTTTCGCCACAAGAGAACGTACAAAGACATTAAATTCTAAAATACGTTCAGTGATTTTGACCAAGGATACGCCAGCATACAACAGAATTGGCTTTGGCAAAATATTGATTATTGACAGTCAGCAAATCTGTGTGATACAATCCAATAAATATACAACAGATGAGACATCAGGTCACCCGGATTAAAATAGCAATCAATGAAAAAGCCTTTCAAATTTGAGTCTAAAACGTGTACATAGATCCCCAATGCCATCTAAAAATAGCTTCAGGTAACAATTGCGAAGCATAATAGTTATTTTAATCAGTGCCTGGAAATAGAATTCAAAACTGACGCCAAGAACTCGGATCCATCATCCTTGAACACAACTGCTGCTGGATCAATGTGAGAAAATTGCTGGGAGGACTTGCACATGAAGCTTGACAAAAAAGAGTATTTTTGAGCGTTTTAGAAAACGAAGGCGAGCAAGAATTGTTACTCGAAGCCATGAACGAACACCAGTACCACGAAACTAGCCATAGAAAAAGGCTAATTAATCACCTTCCCGGCGATTCATTATCTTTCCTCGGTGTCCATCTCATTGCCGGCGGCAATTTCCGTCGGACAAAGGTCTTCCCAAAGTTTTCAATCGAAAATTTTTGTGATTACGAAAATATTATCCTCAATTATAGTTGCCTCAACAAATTATCCGTTCGGGTCACTCACTCCCACTTTCGGTGATGAAGGCGGAAATCGGGTTCGACGTTAGATTTTCTGGTGACTTGAATTTTAAACAAATTTAAATTTAAATTTTCAAAAGAAAATTGAATATACGTGTAAGGTAACTGAAAATGCTTCCTTCTGCTCCAGCAGGTACTTATTCAAATGCATACATAAAAATATTCCCGGAACTTTCGTGAGCCTCTTTTGAAGCTTATTGCATTTTGAACGGATTCACGTTCGAAAACTGTTTTCCGTTACCGCCCACGTGCTCGAGGGGAAGAGAAGGAAAAATTCACCGGAGTTCTTCCTCTTCTCGTTTTTTTTTCTTATTCATTTTTGAACGTTCTTCTCCCAAACGAAGATTTAATGCATGCGTGAAAGTGCGAGTGAAGCTGCATATGCCAGTGAAAAATAGCGTCCGTGGAATCATTATTTTTATTTTAAAGAAAAAATATAACTTTCTATCGCATTGCTTTTACCTATTCTGGGTAGTCATGATTTATCAGGTACGAATAGAGCAAGCTTGAACATTTTTTCCCGTGGCGTAAAACACGCGTTGGTAATAAATACAGTGTTGGAACATTATTTGCTAGACCGATCTTGGTTCATTATTATTACTACTGTACTTAAATTGCACACCTCGAAATATGATTGTTCTGACCCAGCGCATGAACAATTCTTGATTGCAAATAAATTGAATACTGCGTTTAATTTCTGAGAAAAATGTGTTCAGTATTAAATGTTGAGGAGAGAATGAAAGTGAAGGTTTTTCATACTCTTCAAGCTTTTATTTTGATTGAAAAGCAGTCTTCACACAATCTTCATTGCTGAGATAACCATTATTATTTTTTTTATTCTTTCTTCATCTTTACAGATCTTAAAACTGTGCTTGGATTTGGACTTTCGCAGAAATTTGTTTTCATTTGCGTGTTTTTCGATTTTTCTTGTGAAGTGCGTTATTTCTTTGCCATCAAATTACACAATAACGCATTTTGAAAAAACAAAATTAGGAACTTTGAATATATGCTCTTGGCTGCGAACTGGCTGATTGTCTGTGTTCTGGGTTTCATTTGTTCCACTTTACCGTATCTGCATTAAACACTTTTGGGTTAAAATAATGCCCAACATCTCAAATTTGTCACATTCAATAAAATTTGCAATAACTAAGACAACACACAACTTGATTTTTTTCAATATCAAAGAAAATTGAATTCACGAAAAATTTGTGAGGTAAAATAATCTGTTCAAAAATCGTTGGTGCCTGTTATTCAAGCTCGAACATTTAAGAATACAGAAAACTAAAATACCGTCCAGTGTTTGAATTGAAAGCAAACTGACCTGTTTGTCAAAGCGGGGTGTTCTCCAAGAAATGAAAAATGCGGCTTTTTGCGATGTCCAGGCCTTGGCAAAGTGGCCGCAGAAAATTCCGGATGAACATTCACTTTCCCGTTGTCATCCCAGGACGATGATGACGACGACGACGTCGACGATGACGATGAAAACGTCGTCACTAGGGACCGAGGCCCAGCAAAAGGGTCATCGCCGACCCCGACCCTCCAATTTGGCACTTCTTTCGCCAATACGGCAGTTGACCAGCAAGTGAACGACGCCGGGGATCGACACGTCGACGGCGAGGATCGACGGAAGTTGTCGTCACGTTGTTGCTTCTTCAGGATTCCCTTTTGGACGGGGGAAGCGGTTTTGCAGGAACTGGGTAAGGTTGCGGGTTTCGGGGAACCCGTGTTATTGAGGTCGTGGCTTGACTTGGAGCCGAACAGGGTTCTCCGGATGTTGCTGAGGGTAAATTGGGAGCTAGGACCGGAACTTGAAGTTCCTGATGTCGAGGAGTCCTCTAGGCTTGGTACACTCTTGGTTTTTCCGAATCTGAAGCAAAAGATTGCAGAAATTGAAATTGTCATGATTTCTTTTTCATATTGGGAAGATTTTCAGGAAGATATGGAGGTACTGCAACTAGGGTCAGAATACGCTCACATCCAAAAAATTAGCTTCTCAGCATTCACAGCTGTGAAGATCCGCTGTTTTAGAAGCAGCTATGAATAATTTTCAATAAAATTACCTATATATAATTTTTAAATTCTTCTCGTCCATTGAAAGTGAAGAAAATTGAAAATCTCGAACGAAGTATATGGGCAGGTTAAAAACTGTAAGAAACTTTAAAAATTGGCAATTATTTATTCCGCAGAATGATTTTTTTATTTGTCCTTTACGGTGCGTGATCATTGCATTAACGGGTAGATGTCACTAGCAGTCGTCATTTGTTTTGTTCTTAGCGAGATGCAGAGTGGATCCAAGTTCCATTTCATTCGAGTTTCTCTGGAGCGCAAAATTTCTTTTCTGAGTAGACTTTCATTCTAAATGAGAAACACATTTTTCCAAAAATATTTTCACTGAATCAATAGAATATTTTAAAACCTTCCTAAAGCGTTCGCAATTTCGTAGGAAGTTAGTTTCTTCGCAAAGAATGCGATCATGAACTCGAATCAGCATTGGATTTTCGCTTTTAAAGGCATTTGCTTGGTTAATAAGTGTCAAATATGAAGAGTTGTTCCAATAGTCCGGGAAGGAAAATTATAATTTTAAAGTAGTAACGAGAATTATATTTTAAAAAGTAAAACTTTTTAGTAGTACGTTCAGGGTTCTTGGTAATTTTTATAGAATACTGTATTCGGTACACTTTTGAGTACACTGTGACGTGAATTGAATGCAAAAGTCATGAAACCCAGGATACGTTATAATTTTTTAGTGCGCCAGGAAAAAATAGATATACAGTACTAGAAAGGGTTCATTTTAGGGTTCGATAATTTTAAAAACATTTCCGTATTAATTTTTCAGCACAACGTTCAAACAATACAGAATAAAAATGGACGTTGAAATGCTGTGAACCTCAAACTCAAAACATTCAAATTCCGATACAATGAATACTTCTTTTTGGGACGATGTAATAAAATTTTGCAAAAACCAAACTAATTTTCTTCCAAAATCTCAGTATAACGAATTTTCGCCTTGATTATCTGTGCATGGGCCAAGAGAAATTTTAGTTAGGCGTAATATGGAAAATTCCCCAACCAGTGCCTAATTGAAAAACCTTCAAAATATGTTGTCGCTCATCTTTTTGTGCAAAAATTCAGCATTGCAGGAATTATGAAGCCCAAATCGAAATTTATTTAATTTCCTTTCAGAATTTATGTTACGCGAATTGTTTTAAAGAAAAGTGTTTCTGGAAAAATATTATTTTATTTCAGTGAACAGCAAACTGGTGTTTATGAATAAATGATATTCTCATGTGCATTTCCTGTTTGTTTCAGCTAATAATTCAGCAAGATCGAATTTAAAATTTAAGAAAGAGAAGGTCTGAATTTTCTCTTCTACTTCATCAAAATAAAGATGAAAATGTGGGCAATTCTACACATATGTTGTGGACGTACTTTAAAGTACAGTTAAAGGTGTTATTCATCAACAGTTTCGCAGAAAATTTGAATCCTACGTGATTTAAAGATCGTTGAATCTCGTTAAAACGATTTCTTTTCAGTTCCGTGGACGTTCGTTGTAACGAGATTTCACTGCCCCAGTACTTGAAAAGAGAAAACGTGTCACGACTTTCCAAGTGCTCCAGAAATTATTTCCGCCGCCCAAAGACTTAGAATATATAACAAGGCTCCAGATGCGGACTCGAATGACTAAAGGAAAAGAAAGAAAAAAACAAGGATGACCTGACAACACAAACTGACCTGACAACAGGCGGGTGTCGAACAGCATCAGCAGTCGAACACAGCCTCGCTTCGTTAAACTCGACCCGACTGCAAGTCGAAGAATACCACACATTCGCCCCAGGCCTGGGCCAGTCCTGTTCATCCAGTTTCTCCTCGCTAGCATAAAACACGCGGCTCGCTTTGCGTCGAAACGCGCTGCCCAAACTCGTCGGCCCCGACAACGACATCGGCGTCGTCGTCGTCGTCGTCGCATTCCGACCGACAGCAATTCCTGCACTATTGTTAATGCCACTGCTGATGGTACTACTACTACTGCCGGGGTTCGGAGGTAAGGACTGTCCACAGTTGGATTCCCCAGAGTCGGAGAACCCAGAGTCTTGGCTTCTGTGGCTCGGGGAACCGCGACGATGATCATTTATGAGTGGGGCACGAGCATCTTCTTCTTCTTCCTCTTCCTCCTCCACATCTTCTTCCTCTTCTTCTTCTTCTTCTTCTTGTCGACGAATGGAACTGGTTCTGCAGAAGCTGCCGTCGTCACTAGAGCTCGACAATCCGTCGATGTCGACCACGGATGCTGTCCTGGCTCTGTTTTCCCCGGGGCTGTCGGGCATGGGACAGCCGTTTATGTAGATTCGAAAACGGTTCTTCGCCGTCTCCATAATGGTGCACCCGTTTCACAACATAACTGAGGAAAATAAGCACGAAGAAGAACATTTTAAATCACTGTACTAGTCGAAAACATGAATAGACAGACAAGAGCATCATTTTTCATGTACAGTGAGGCCCCCCAGCACATGCGCACGATTTCAATCGGTATTCGAAATGGAAAAATTTATTTTTAAAAAATTCGATATCTCTAGAAAGAATCGTGCTTTTGCAGTCACAAAGCTTGAAAAGAAATGTACCATGATTCATAAAACATTTAGCTTAATTTTGAAGTTGAGAAAATGTTTTCGATTGAATTCTTTGGGGACATTTTTCTGTAATTTTTGCTAATTAAATATACTGTATATCCATTCACGCTTAAGGGAAAACATGATCCGACACAACGACTTAGTAAGAAATTGAGAGAACACGAGACTTTATTCCATCTTTGATTGGAAAGAAGACGAGACTCAAAAACAATGACGATAAGCGTATTTTTGAAAGTTTCGTCAGTCGAAAATATTCAGCATTTTCTGAAGCGAGAAGGCTCAAAACAAATCCTGAATTCATGTACTGTATCTGACATCGTTCTTGAAATACACGAAAGATTTTTCAAAAATAGATGAAAGCTAGTTGAAAAGTTCTGGTATTTTTGAGAGTCTCATCATTTCATATGAATTTAGAAAGATCGACGTATTCAGGCAGATATGATCAATTTGATTATTTCCTGAGACTTTCTCAATTTCTTAATAAATAAGATTGAACCGGGGAAAATACGGAGTTTAAAGTAAACCCATCTCCTAAGCATAAAAAATGGATTTATGATTTCTCAGGCAGTTGTTACCAATTTTCGAAAAACAAAATCTTGAGTAAAAAGTACCAATTAAAGACGGATGCCGATGAACCAAAAATGCCCAATCTTTTCAAAATCGTGTGTTCGTGATTTCGGTGCAGGAAAATTTCGTTGTACCTTCAGTTTAATCTCGAGTCAATTCCGACGGAATCTCTTGATAAATCATAATCTGTTTGCTTGCCCTTCACAAGCCAGCCATTTTTTGGTCCCAACTGAGCACCGTATATATAAAACGGCTCCATGAAAAAATCCCATGGGAGAAAAAAATCTCGCGGCCCGAAAATCCCGAAAGGCCGATAATCCCGTAGGTCTAAAAATGTCGTGGCGTCTGAAAATCCCGCAGGAACGAAAATCTCGGGTACTACAAAAATTTTGTATGTGTGTCTGGGATGGAGAAGTGGATCAAATGGCAAGACAAGATTGAAACAATAAAATCAGTGCATTTATTCTTCAATTGCCTTTGGGTGGAAATCTTGCGGAGTTATAGAATTGAAATTTCAATTTTCTCAATTTCTTCATAAATAAAATTGAACTGGAGGATTATGCGGAGTTTAAAGCCCGTATTTCAAACTGAAATTAGACGAAATGAAATATCACTACGAAACTGCATTTAGAGTTTTCAATAATTTAGGTTACGTGTTGTAGTCATTGAAGACGGGTTTTCTGAAGCAATGATCTAATTTTAGTTCGTGTTAATTTTCGATAAGTTTCGTTCCTGCGGGAATTTTTGGGTGATTTTCGGGCCGCGGGATTTTTTATTCCACCGAATTTTCTCCTGCACCCGTCTAAAACCACTCCCCAAAACACATCCATCCTCTTCCACAAGAATGTGAACTTACCACATTTACAGCGTATATTTTCATGCGTAAGTGATTCATGGGTGTGCAATACACCGAAAACCTGTATTTCTTCCGCATCGCATTTTTATAATAATTCCTTGGGAAAAAAATCCGCGTCAAAACACCCAAAATTCGTTCCAAAAGGAAAAAAACAAATTTTAAAAAGGCATTCCTCGCGACAACAAACCCATGTTCATCAGACTGTCAAGGCTACTTCAACAATAAAATCGACCTTCGTAGGGCTGAAAAAATGCATATGGAATCCAAACGGCGTCGGAATTATTCGGCGGCTAATTGGGACCCAAAGCGAGAATTTCAAGCTTCTCTCCACGCTGGAAAAAGGTTCGTTCAACTCTCTCAAGTCTCAGACACGAAGGAATCCGAACCCAAGACCAGTCCCAAGTTCAAGACAACAACTTCACGGGGTTTATTGAGCAAAAGCTTCTTTGTAGCTTTCCTTACGCGGATTCACATGGACCAAAGCAAGTACCCATTCGTCGTCTCGAAACTCGAAAGACAAAAAGAAATTCCAGGACAACATGTTTTTTTTCTTTTCTAGCACGGGTCTCGAATCCTCATTCTTTACACCGTCCAGGTAATGTTGAAGATTCAGTCATTTTATCTACAAGTGATCGCTGATGAGATGAGATGTCCCAACCTTTATTTTCAATGCCATGTCCACATTAGATGAAACCACTTCAGGCTCTTTTTTTTAAACCCATCAAAGACATTCCATAAGTTCAAGGTGACATTCAACCAGGATTTGAGCTTTGTTCTCGGGTTCTAAAAAATAGCAAAATCATAATTCCACTGCAAGCAGACAAATGCCAACATTTTCCATGAATATTTTTTGCAATTCTTTTCAATACAACTTGGAACTCATTTAAATCAAGCTATAGCGATATGGAATTAAAAATTATGAATTTACAGTGGAAAATACTACCAAAAAACCAGATGAAAGTTGGTAAACATGACTCCAGCGGTCAATAAAACCCCCAGCGTGTCTACAAGTGACATCTATTCACAAGAAAATAATTTTCAGTGTGATGGACATGGGCTCCGCGGACCCCAAAGAATTCATCATTTACTTTACAAAGGGATCTGTGGATAGTAAAGACAAATGCAGTACTGAAAAGAAACCTGGACACATTTCTAAGTGGAAAAGTAAGTTATGCAAGGAATTAACATGAAGTTCTGTCTGTATTTTGAAGCATGAAAGCTGTTCACTGTCAGTTTTTTTGCAAAAAATTGTTTAATTTGATGCAATCATTTGGTTTGCGGTCATAAACGTATATCAAGGGGCAACCTTGAATATATGTTCCAAGATTTTCAACAATGGTGTGTTGTGTAATATGATGGCAAAGAAACAATACAATTCACAAGGCACACTGAAAACACTACATGAGTGAAGAAATTTGTGCATAAATCCAAATCCAAACACAGATATAAAATGGGTGAACATAAAAAATGAATAAAAAAGAATGGTGATTCTTCACATTGAAGGTTGTGTGAAGACTGATTTTTAATTGAAAAAAAAAAATTGGGAGGAGCAAAAACCATTGCCAAGTTTTATTTTTTTTATTGCATTCTCTCCACTACAACATATTTTACAAGTCCAAGAGGCTTCATTGCAACACAATAAAAACTCTCCCAACTAATATTGCTCGCAAAAAGCACTCTTCATGTCAAAAATATTGAGTAATCCTGCCAGCTATTTAAATAATGATTCTGCATTGTTCAATATTTTCTTTTTCATTGTTTCACAGCAGAACTTGCGTCATCAAAGGGATTTTCGACAACACTGAGGTGATCCGGTTGAACGGGTTACCATCGAGGCTCGGGTAGCATTTCCGTGTGTGCAGTTGCTTTTAGCTCTGGCCGCCGTCGTAAAAAGGGACGCCTCTTTTCTTCAATGCACCACATTTAGAGGCGGCTAATATAAATCCGGCGCGATTCGAAGGAGGTAATTACCGGGATATCTCACAGAGGGCTTCCAGCTTTAAGCGCCCTTCTTTATATGCTTATCTGAACGAGGAACCCGAAGTTGCAGTAGCACGAACCTTCGGGTTCCCCCCCATCAGTTCGGAGGCCCATCAGAAGTGTTCCTTGTTGAAGGGATGTGGTTGTGGTGATGTTGCCCCGAGGCAAAAGCTCTTTCCTGCACTGCTTCTAAATGGACACAAACGGGTTCAACCAGCACTACCCTATAGTGGCAATTCGGAAACAAAAGAACTACATTCATTTTTTTTTTCGAAGATTCCGTCTTGAAGGCGTTGAAGGGGCATTATATTTTACTTCTGACATTCTTGTTGCTTTATTCAAAAATCACAGGAACCTCGCAGGAGTTTTTTTTCGAACGTCCTTGAAGTCTCAAAATTTATTAGCAGTCATCTGACAAAGATTTGCGTGGTACCAAACCCGAAATGTGGAACAAACATAAATCTATGCTCGCGTCTCCCATCCAAGAATTCGCGGGAAAATTTTTAAAATTTCTAGCCGATTCAAAACGATATTTTTCTGAACAAGTTCTAACTGAAGTGGTAACCAGTATGTCTTGAAATTCAGCATCAACGGAGCGATTTCAAGCATTGTATTAAGAAAAAAAAAGGTTCGCAAGATTTTCTTCAATAGTGTTTCGAATTAGGCATAACTGAAAGAAAAAATGAATTTCTGCTAAAGAAGTTGAAAAAGTGGTGCCAATTGTTTTTACTCGGAAATTGTTTGCTGCCAGCTATCTAAAAAGGTGGAAAATAAACTTGTGAACAGCGTGAAAACCAGTTCCATGAACTTGAAGAAGGCATGAAGATACCTTCAACTAATAATGGACCCGCCAAAATTACACGGAAGTGTGCTAAAATAGGATTTGAACAATCAAATAATATTGGGATCGATACTCGTAATTCAAGAATTTCCGACAATACCCACGCATAGAGGAAGCACTTTATCATGTTTATCCGACAGACTTTGGGAAATGGCACGCATATATATTCTTTATGACCTTCTTAACTTCTTTGAAATACGAGCTGGATTTTTTTTTTTGCTGGAGTTGAGTTCATTGGCACACGTTGACGTGCTGAAGGACATGACGCGCACGATTTCCTTATTCGCCAAAAAAATGCACGTAGTAACACACGACGAGTCATTTCCGAAAAAAAAAAAATAATTAAATGCAAGTACGATACCGAAACAGGAACCTTTCTCAATCCTGTGTCAGCATTCCGACGCCAGTTTCTGAATCAATTTCTTCATGACCATGAAAAAGCAATTTGTTTTCAGACTACGCAAATTCAGGTGCACTCATCCATCAGTTTTCCACTCGGGCCATGTCTGGAACCCAGGATTAATTTCTCGTGCAACGGAATGCTGCGAGAATAATTTATTCAGAAACACTCGAACCCCGAGGAATCTTCGGCATTTCGTCCAGGAAACAACCCTACCTTTCAGGGGAGGGGGGGGGGGGCAGGAACACATGATCTGTGAACAGGACACTTGTTCGCCTCATCGGAACTTCCGCGTGTCTCGAACCCAAAAAGGGGCCCGACGATCCGTGTCAGGAGCAACCCAGGATAAAAATTGAAGAGAAAAAAAAACCAGAAACCCCGCCAACAGTCCAGAAAAAAAAGGAACCCGCAAGTTCAAGATCACGTAGCAGCAGGCAAAGACACCTGGAAACCGGTCCTAAACAACGCCAACGATCCTCGACTGAAAAAAGGTCGCCCCGAAAGGAGATGACGAAACCCAAATGCTCCGTTTACCCAAACATGGGCAAAATCTTATACAAGGCAAAAAGGTTCTTCATGCAAAAAAAAAAAAAAAAGACACCTTCTTCACCGAAGACTTCATTTCCTTCCTCTGGTATTATCTCAACACTTGCTGAGAATTGTCCTTAAAAATTTCAAACCCAAACTCACTTTTTTTTTTTTTGTGTGAATGGAAAATGTGTTCTTTGAAGTATGAAGATATTTTCTCAAACTTTTCCTTAAAATAAACTGTTTCTACCGACCCACATTGTGAGAGGCCAAGCAATTTGTATTTTTAGTGATTGCAAGTTTCAAAGCAGAAAAAACATTGTTACCCTAAGTCAACTACAGAGGAAATAAACAAAAATTTTCTGAACACCTCTGTACTGTATTATTTCTTAATTCACTTCAAGCTAAAACAAGACAATCTTTTTGAGATTTTTTAATTCTTATGGCTGGGGTTAATCAAAAAAAAAAACTGACTGGGGTTAATACTGGACAAGTTAAGTGCGTATATTCCTGAGCAACTCAAACAGGCAAAAAAAGAACACAGACAATGAGTGCCAAAAAGATTTTTCGACATCCCTTTTACGGATTTTTAAATACAGACAGGGAATGAC